GAGAGAGAGAGAGAGAGAGAGAGAGAGAGAGAGAGAGAGAGAGAGAGAGAGAGTGTGTGTGTGAATTCTCGCACTGAATCAGCTGATGCGATGGAGACCAGTGATGCGATTTCTAACGGATTACGCTTTTGGAACATACGAGGTATGGCTATTAAATAACGAGACTGACGCTGCTACAGAAGAAGTGCGCATGCGCCAAACGCCAGCAAGCCACAACTGTTATCGTGAAGCTTTCTCTTTCGAATGCAGTGCCTCTCGTTTCTGTAAACAAATCAGTATAGCCGTAGCCTTCATTCGCATTAGAGTTGTTTTTTTGTTTCGCCGGAAAAATGTTAAGTGTAACAGTAGAGCAACGAATTGTTGTGAAATTTCATATGAAACTTGGAAAAACTGCTACTGAAACATATAATTTATTGAAAGAAGTGTATGGCAATGAATGTTTATCGCGCGCACGTGTTTTTGAGTGGTTTAAGCGTTTTCAAGATGGCCGAGAAGACGTTCAAGATGATTCACGCCCGGGTCGCCCTTCCACGTAAAAAACGGATGACAATATCGAAAAAATCGGTAATCTGATTCGACCGTCGGTTAAGTATTCGTGCGATTGCTGAAACTGTACGAATTGATAAAGAATCCGTACGGCAAATTTTACATAACAATTTTAACATGAAAAATGTGTGTGCCAAAATGGTGCCTAAAATTCTCATGTTTAAACAACAAGAAGATCGCAAAAATGTTTGTACTGACACTTTGAATGCCATTGAAAATGACCCAAACTTATTGGAAAGGATAATAACATGTGACGAATCGTGGTTTTTTACTTATGATCCTGAAACTAAGCGCCAATCTATGCACTGGAAGAGCCCCTCTTCACCGAGAGCCAAAAAAGCTCGAATGAGCAAATCAAAATTTAAAGCAATGATGATTGTTTTTTTCGATATTCATGGGATTGTGTACCTTCACTGGGTTCCGGAAGGTCAAACTATTAATCAACATTACTACCTTCATGTTCTTGCTGAACTCCGTGAAAGAATAAACAAAAAACGACCCGAATTATGGAAGGACAAGTCATGGGTTCTCCACCAAGACAATGCGCCGGCTCATTCCGCATTGTCTGTCAAGAGGTTTCTAGCCAAGTTCAGCATCCCAGTGTTAGACCATCCGCCTTATTCGCCAGATCTTGCGCCGTGCGACTTCTATCTGTTTCCTAAGGTGAAATCTGCCTTAAAAGGAACAAGATTTGAGTCCGTTGAAGCTGTGAAAGAGAAAGCGGCACACGTCCTGAAGGAGCTGACAGAAGAAGACAGCACTGCTTCGAACAATGGAAGATTCGCATGGAGCGTTGTAGGGATAGAGGAGGGGTGTATATTGAAGGTGATAATAAGTAAAAATGTATGAAATCAAAATAAAATGTTTTACAGCGTCAGTCTCGTTATTTAATAGCCACACCTCGTATTTACTAAGCGATCGCTATTTTTTCCAGCATACTTTTAATACGCTCAACCGCTTTGTAAACAAGTTGGAACAGTGTAAATTGCTAAATGTCGTTTAGTAGAAAATTTTATAACAGCTGCGAAGTTCTACGCAAAGTGTTTGCTAGCTGCTTTTTCTGCTGAACGCAGTCATTATCTCCCATTATACGTAAAGCAAGAATAGAATGATGCCATAACATTCTTTAGCATGCTCCTCGCGAAGTCGCCAATATGCTACTATAGAAACTTGCATTGTACTTGATTGTTGTGTAAGATTAAAAAAATATAAATCAGAATGTATATTCGATATATTGGGCAAAGTACATTATTATGAAATTATTGCATAGCCCACGACATAATACAACAGGAACGTTATGAAAGACAGAGAGGTAATTGAGAGGGAAAGAAAGAGAGAGAGGAGGGGAGGAGGAGAGAGAGAAAGAGTGAGTGAATTCTCGCACTGAGTCAGCTGATGCGATGGAGACCAGTAATGCGATTTCTAGCCGGGGTTATTCAGCGTTATTCTCTCTCTTCTACTACGTACACAAAGATGCTTCGTCTATTCGTGTGACAACTGTCGTGTGTAGTGATTATAACTCCGAATGTAAAATTGGCGTTTTCCAATGAGAGACACAAGTCGACACAAGTCTAGTTATATCATCTATTATACAGGGTGTTCGGAAAGTACCGGGACGCCCGAATATCAGGAAAAATATAAGTTTTACAAAAAAATGTTTCAGACAAAAGTTGTGGCGTTTAAAAAGATGTATTTACTGATCACATCAGTTTGACCTTGGGTTGCGTAGCGAAGGTCAGGTCAAGGTCACATTAATTTTTTTAAATGGAACACCCCATTTTTCATTGCATATTCTTATAGCACATCTCGAGAGCTTTCCAAAACGCTATAATAAAATATTTTTTCGTTAAGAACTTTTCGAGTAATAACACTTGAAATTTCCAGCACTTTGACATAGAATACAAAATATCTCGTAAAATATTCTTCTTTCGGTTATCTTGTCTTAATGCTTTTTTGCACAGAATAATGAGACAAATTAATTGGCTTAAAAAAAGCACAAAAAGATTTTTATATATTTATGTAAAAAATTTTTTTTTTTTTTTTTTAAGCTAATTAATTTGTCTCATTATTCTGCGCAAAAAAGCATTAAGACAAGATAACCGAAAGATGAATATTTTACGAGATATTTTGTATTCTATGTCAAAGTGCTGGAAATTTCAAGTGTTATTACTCGAAAAGTTCTTAACGAAAAAATATTTTATTATAGTGTTTTGAAAAGCTCTCGAGATGTGCTATAAGAATATGCAATGAAAAATGGGGTGTTCCATTTAAAAAAATTAATGTGACCTTGACCTAACCTTCGCTACGCAACCCAAGGTCAAACTGATGTGATCAGTAAATACATCTTTTTAAACGCCACAACTTTTGTCTGAAACATTTTTTTGTAAAACTTATATTTTTCCTGATATTCGGGCGTCCCGGTACTTTCCGAACACCCTGTATATATAGTTATATTATCTATTATACCTTTTCTTTATCTAGTGCGAAATAAGGACAAATGATGATATAACTAGACTTATGTCGACTTGTGTCTCTTATTGGAAGGCACTCATGAATAGCAACAGTCACGCGGACGACTTTGGACATTATAAAGGCATCATATCAGGATTTCAATGAATAGTTAAAACAAAAAGAGGAAAGTACAAATAAGCGACTGTGTAAATGTTGTGTAAGCGGTACGTTACACCATTGTTATAATTATCGATGTTCCAACACTGGTGTAATGTACCGTTTGCACGACATTTTACACGCGTGTCACTTATTCGTAGTTTTTTCTTTTTGTTTAAACAATTTATTGAAATCCTCTTCCGATTCTGTTATAATATTCCTCAAAGTCTCGTTTGCATGATTGCTGCTATCCATTTTACATTTCGGTGATTTTACCTTAAGGCTCCTGGATACTTGTTATGGCTGTCCTTCTTTGATAAAGTCAAAAGCGAGAAAAATGAATATAAATTAAAAATAAATTAAATTTATGAATATAAATGGGTAAATTTATGCGACGGTATACATGGAAATAAAACAATATACGCACAAAATAAAACTCGTGATCGATTCAGCACACTTGTAAAAATAGCCGGACGCTTACCTTAATTAACCTGAACAATTAATAAATAGCCGTAAAATTAACATAACAGAAATCATGAGAAAAAATAGGTTAAAAACGTAAATTGCATGTTATACTAATTTACGACTATTTATTAATTATTCAAGTTAAAAGAAAGTGTCCGGGCATTTTTACAAGTGTGCTGAATCGATCACGAGTGTTATTTTGTGCGTATATTCTTTTATTTCCATATATACCGTAGCAATGAATTGACATGATTTTCCTCGCTTTTGACGTTATCAAAGAAGGACAGTCATAACGAGTATCCAGGAGCCTTAAATCGCTTACTTTATACGAATAATTTAAGTATTATTAACGTTAAGTATTATTAACGACCCGAGGCGATGAGTGAAAAGGATGAGGAAAGGCATCAGGCAGGTAAGAAATTTGACGCATTATTACATACTTGTATTTATTTATTTATTATATACGAAATGTATAAATATAACGCATAAATGAAAATTTATAATCTTTTTTTTTAAATATTTTTAAGTAATTTTTTATATTTTATAGTTATTTTCTACATTTGTTGAAATGGGTACGTCTGCGGCGGGTACGTCGGCTACTGGTTCGTTTTCTGCGAGTACGTCGGCTGCGGGTACGTCGGCTGCGGGTACCTCGGCGGCGGGTACGTCGGCGGCGGGTACGTCGGCGGCGGGTACGTCGGAGGCGGGTACGTCGGCGGCGGGTACGTCAGCGGCGAGTAAAAGCGAACATTTGCAGGGCGCATACGCCATGCATTAAAATGGTATTTTTTAATGCGCCGATTTTGTTTTTGAAGAGTGCGACGCACCATATCTTTTACTGCCTGTAAACAAAAAGAACAAGTAAAAATTTTAAGATACGAATCTTAGTTTCGCAGGCTGTTGACTTCTCCGCTTGAAGCGTATGCTAGCTATCAAGCGCGGAGGGCAACAGTACCGCGGAGAAAAGCATACGTCGGTTGAACGGTCGAAGAGTCAACGTATGCTGTGAGACATCGTCGCGTCATGTAAAAAAAAATTTGTAAGATGCATTTATAACAATGACTTGCGAAATATTTGTAAAAATATTTCATAACTCATTGCAACAAATGAAAAACCTTACAAGTTTTTCACTTTACTACGCGACGTTATGTCACTTGCAACGTGAGACACTACACCACTGAACCGAGGTACACGGCACTGTTCATTTTCGCGCACGATCACTGATGCACGATTCGCAATCCGCACTGCGATTTCACCCACTTCACAAATATTTTCTTACGAACAACGTACATAATACATAGCGCATGAAGCAGTGAAACGATCAGAGTCTTTCATTTCTATATCAAAGTTGCAAATGAAGGACTCTAATAATTAATTGATTAACTCTAATATTTAATGCCCTACGCGTTATGTAAATGTGTATTGTTCGCCTACCTGCGTAAGAGCGAGTCCGGCTAATTCTCTTTTCCTTCCGCCGCTTCCCCCGTCTTTCTCTTCAGCTCCGTCGTCCTCGTCGCCGCTCCCGTCAGCTTCCTCGATTCCATCGGTTTTTCATTATTGGTCCTTAGTGGCGGTCCGTCTCTTGTTTCTACGCGTAGAAACGTTGACGACGACAACGACGGCGACAGCGATGGCAACGGCGACAGCGATGGCGACGACGACGGTTTCGGTGCCGTCTCTGTTTTGCTCGCAGGTTTCCTGCCTCGTTTCTTGGGTGACGACGGTGGCGCAATTTCTAATTTGGCTGCCGTCGCCGTCGTCATCTTCCTCGTCGTCGTCGTTGTCGCCGCCGCCGCTCTATCCTCGGGCACACTTCCTTCGCTTTTTGCTGCAACACAAAAATAACATATAATTATATATAATGCATACCATACGCGAGAAATTGCAGAAACGTTTGAAATTCTAAAATATATTTACTTTTTCTCGTGCTGCTCATCACTTGCTCGGCCCGTCTCCGGTTGCTATACTAATCGGCGCGACGTCTGGAACGCGTGTGAGCACGTTCGGACGCCGCGCCGATTGCTAGCTGTTTGGTTCGCGAGAAAAAGAGAGAGACATTGGCTCGCACGTGGCGCTCGCGTGTGTTATAGCGACCGACCTTTCTTCATCAAAACAAAACATGCGTCCGCTGAGCCGCGAGCTTCCTTGCGTTCTCGCCTTACATATTGTTCTTGACAGAAACGCATTTTTGTCTTCGCCCATTATTAGCCTTTTACCATAATAGCGTTCCTATGTTATAAATTGCTTTTTCTCCGAAATACACAGCATCCGTACACATCCGTGTTTCAATGATCTCCTTGTATTTTCAATAAATAATCATTAAACTCACATCTAGTCACATATACGTATTTTAAAGGACGTCGTAAGTTATAATTATTTAATCTATAAGAAATATAATGTATGTACGTGTGTGTGTGTGTTTTTATCCCCATGTGTTCCTTGTGCTACGACGGCGCTGATCTTGAACTTTTACATCAGTACATATTTCTTGTATGTCAAAATTACAAAGCATGCTTGCAAGTTTATTCTACATGATTTGTTGATATAAAAAACTCGGCAATTACAGTATATAATTACTCGCGATGGCGATTTGTGGCATTTCTTTGATTTCTTTTTTTTAAACGCAATACACGATCGTAAATAATAAATTTTTTTTTATATAAAAGAAACATCACGTCAATTATTATTACATAAATCATTTACTTCTATTCTTCCATTTACTTCCATTATTGCATAAATTTCTATGACCGTTTTATTAAAAAACATTAAGGTTAATTTAATATCATATTACATGTTATATACGAGGGTGGTCTGAAAAGTTTCCGACCTCAACGTGAAGATAGCAGCACTTGTAAATAAAAGCTAGTGAATTTCGTTGTTCATCTGTTGACAGTTACTCACCGAAGTTTCAGCCATTTTGGACTCGCAGTTGTTATGTAACAGTCGTTTGAGTAAGTTGATGTGAGTGTTTTTGTGAAAATGGACAAAATCGAGTATCGAGCTGTCATTAAATATTTGTTTTTGAAAGGCAATACGCCTACGCAAATCAAAGATGAGTTGGATTCTGTGTATGGGGACTCTGCACCATCATTTACGACAGTGA